GAACAAACTTCTGTATGCACCATTCGAGATTTACCATGTGAATTGCCATTGCCTTCGCAGTTTAAAGAAGTTTCATTCATGCTTCTTTGGTGGGATTCTCACGTATTCTGTAGATGACTATGAAGTTGATTTGTGGATTAAATGAGTATCCAGATTCTACCAGGTGTTCTAGGATATAGCTGCAGGGAAAGTTTTTCTCCTTAATAAATCCATAAGGGCAAGTATGGTCAACATACTTAGCTGCACTCCGGCAGGTGAATTGATAGGTACACAACGGTGAAACCAGTAGTGGTGGCTTATCCTTCAGGTTTACATAAATCACTGGTCTTTGGAGAACGTTAGCAGAAGTTCAGCTGCGAGGAAGGTTTTCTTCAGTAAGTAGGACAAGCAGTTTCTCAGTATTTCTGCCGGTGAATCTTCATTGAATTTAAGATGTCTATGGGCAGCAGAAAGTGTGGGTAGTTTTGGTGGTTTGGGCTTCAAGGATTGTGATTAAATGTTCAGAGTAGCCATATTCGAAAACAATTCTCTTCAGAATGTTTAGCTTCTCTTCCATGATGTTATGGCTGCCACTAGTGCAGATTTCGTGGTTCAATGGACGAATCAAGCTTTCGAAACTGTGGAAACTAGCTAGTTTTGCACTCCTAGTAAGCTTTCTGAAGATGTATCTTCTTAGAGTTCTATCTCGTTCAAATATTGCTATTTGAACTTCCCGGTAGGCTGTATTTGAGTCAAACTTTTTTAAAGTAAATTGGATTGCAAGGTGGAAGCTGTTGAAGAAATCCAAGATGACTTCCTAGTTCTCTCCATTATCGGAGAAAACGGAAGAATAGGAATAAATAAACAAATATTCTAGAATTAGGAAGACAAATTTCTTTCTCTGTCGATAATGGTAAATGCAGTCGGTATATACTCTTTGTGTCCTATTTCGTTTAGATGCCAACCAACGGTTCTAGTAAGGGTGTTTTTGGAACTCGTTGGCAACTCCTCATGCAGTCTATCTTCAGAGCTTCACCAATAGCTTTTTGCATTTTAGTGGATAGAGAATAGCATACTTTAAATACTGTCTAGTTCTTCTATGCCCAGGGTATATTGCTCTCTCGACTGTACAATTACCTTGTCTTTACATCAATAAATCTATGAAGCGAAACTAACCCTCTTGTTCATACACCATTGTGAAGCTGATGTTTTCATGTATATTACTGATGATTTCAAATAATTTGGACGCATGTTCCACGTCTTTGAAAATCACGAATGCATTATATATAAATCCCACATGAAAACTTAATAATAACCTGCTATACTTCTGAATTTTATTTGAAAATTGGTGTGAGTACAAATTAACACTCATTGATGTAATTGCATAATAGTAAAAAACATACATTTTGATGCATAGAAAATCACTTAGCCCAGTGATCGAAAGTTGATTTTAACATCGCCATTTAACCTATTTGTAAAACAAGGCATTCAAGAGACTAACTTAGATAACAATGTCTTCAAATAGGAGGACAGCATCATCGTACGCACACTTAAAGTTGATAAGAATCTTCTCTGCTGATAAGTTGATTCCTGAGTCACCGAAGTCAGTTAGGGGCAGTTCCATTATTGCATCTGTGATGTACTAGTGAATTTGACCATGGACATTAAACGTAGGCTAAAACCTGTTTTAGGCAATTAAAAATTGTTTGTTAATAAATGGCTTCTGTGAACTGAAGTGAACATAGTCTTCTTTGTGCACTGATTATTTTGAAAGCCTGACTGATTTCCACTCTATATCTCGTATCAGGTAGTCAGGCTTTCACAATAATCAATACACAAAGGAGACTATGGTTGCTTTGATTCAGAAAAGCCACTGCTAATCCAACTCTGTAAACAGAAAGATAAAAAGACAAATCTCTCACTATGCAGGTGACCGCAATTTTTCTGTTCGTGTCCTATGGGATTTTTTTCTGTGGCATAATACCCTCCCAATTAAATTCCATTTTGATTATCACTTACTGAGTTGAACTCACTACTGAGTTTCCAATCCACTTAATAGTCCCGTCTATTTTTTAATTTCATTTTACTTCTAAGCCACACCCTCTTGAATTCTCTATCATAATAAGTAAAATTCACTCTGTTGTTCTACCCTGTAATTTCTCTCTAGTCCGCCCCTGTTTCAAAAAGAAATCCGAAGTCTACCTCTTCGTGTTTAATTATGCTATAATTACTTTGTATTATAACACTGAATAATTCGTCAACTTACATCACATTTGGACTTACATTGACTACACTTTCTATCTATAACTTAGGTCATTGCAAAAAGTACGTTCAGAAGTCTCGTAACTTACAATTAATTTTGTTCAGGATGTACGCGATTGAAGAAAATCTACAGAATAAGGCGAGGTCGTACTATTCTGCTTGTTCTCTCATAATTCAGTCAAAGTCATAAGTTCTCCTGATGAAGATTTCTGAATTAAAGTAGTTCCAATAAATGAGGAATTAAGTTGAATAGCATAAGGAATAGGGAAATAAATTCGCTAGGAATCAGCAATGCGATCCATAACGTTATTATAAGAGTATTTGAGTATCAAAAGTGTTTCAGATAGTCAATAGTCCTCAACAATCCAAAGAATTATGACTGCATTATATTATTCTGTTCACATCCGTATTGTTGCTTTGCTGACTCCACTGCCATTTAGGAACTGGAAATAGGACCTGTGGGGAATCATCCGCACGACTACCTGGCAGACCAACGTCATGAATTTATTTGGCGTTAGTCGTACCAGCAAAGACGGTCAGTTTGTAAAACGGACGGTTCACTTGCTTTAAACGAACAATTTAAGAATGACATACAACTAATTACCTTACTGAACAGAAACGAAGCATTATCAATCAAGTTTGTTATTTGTAAAACACTTTCTAAATTCTGATTGGATTAATTAAACTGAGAATAATATGAAATGATATTAACTAAAATCCCAGAATTCTCCCGGTAATTGATGCATCCGTGTACTTACAAGTTCAGTTATTTGTAGAGCACAGATGACAAAGACATCCATAGCGAAGTCCCTTCTTAAGTGTTACTTTGAAGAGGTTTGAATGATTTCAACCCAGCGCTTGTTATTGACTGATTACAGGATGAACTTGCTTGAAACCCAAAAGGACAAGTCTTATTAACTGAGGTCTACGAAGTTGAGCGTCGTAGTCATCTGCAGTAGTAAGAATTTGCAAGCCATAGAAATGCGTACCGGTGGCTTATTGGTATACAATTTCACCCTGTAACATGAAGGTCTTGAGTTTGATCCCTGAGGTTGGGGTGATGGATGCACACTGATGGTGAGTCTCAAACAAGAGTGAAACGGCTATCCAGTACTCCTTGATGGTGTCCAGTGGTTATCTTATTGAAATCGACTCGTTATCTAAATTAAAATCAGTTCTTCTTGAATTCATAACAGTGAATTCCAGGTTTTCGTTTTATCTTAGTCACATTACAAACACTGATTAGGGATCATATAATATCCTTTTCGATGCATTTATCATTAGGTTTTCCAGTTACATATCAGTAATAGTTAAAGGATTATAGCCACTAACATCATTAATGCTTTTACTTGTAGCGAATAAATAGTATCGATAGATTACATCTCAGAAGCGTCAGTAACAGAGGGATAATATGCATTTTTGTAACATTAAACTGAACATTAGATAAATTAGAGAAATAATACAGAATTTATGAATTTATATAAGTTCGACAACAGTATAGGGTAACAATAGTGGCCGGACCTGTTTCTTTCGCATGCGTGAAGCTCTGGTTGATTTAAATGAACAGAAATAACCTCTTGCTTCTGTTTGAAGTATTTGGTATGTAGGAGCATTTCATAACTTATTCGATACCCGAAAGATAATGGAGAAAGTCTCCTCAGTGATAGTTACCTTTGTCTCCTGTTTAGGCGAGGTGGTCTAATCTCGAACTACTGATAGTTTTAACAACGCCTTTATTTAGCCACACTGGTAGTTGTTCCCAAGCACGAAGAATTAAGTTCCCAGAGCATTGGCTAAGATAACTGGCTACACAGAAACAAAGGAAATGATAGATACAACTGAAGTTTCCTAGCCTGGTCACTTTCGATTTCGAAATCACATCCAGTTGTGTGCAAACTTTGAGCCGCAGATTTCCTATGTTTATTACATACCTTCCATGGATTTTTTCACCTTGTCGTCTATTATTTCACTTGGTATATACTCTTTGAACTGTAGTTATATATGCCAAGGCTTCTTCTTAATGAATGCAGAAGAATCTTTTTCTGCTTTCTTCGCCATGTGTTTAATGATAAGCTTTTCCAGATAGCTGCTCTCATTTAACGTGCTGTATACAAACTTACGTTTGTCTTTATTCGCGTCTGCTGAGCAAATATCCCTGATCCTATTGCTGAGGGCCTTTGACAAATTTCCTTTTAAAGGGAGGGAAATAAATCCGTGAAGACGTGTAAATCAACGGATCCAGGTACTTTTCTTAAGCAAATTTCTGTTTATGCTACCCTCTGGTCTTCTGTCCCAGTAGGATGTCTAAGAAGTCTACTTTAGTCTGAGATTTTTCTTCACATGTGAATTCGAAGGCTTAATGTACTTAACTGAATTGACGTATTACTACATTCATCTCCACAAAGGATGAAGGCACCATCCATACACTGGCATTAAAATAAGAATGTTTTGATAAGGGTGTTCAAAAGACCATTGTCTAATTTACTCATAAAGAAACCTACTAACGTGGATTCAATAGAGAGCCCATCTCCACTTCTGGTTTGTTATTTTCATTTTAGTCACCTTTGTCACAAGTCCTTAAAGATGTATTTACCATTTTATTTATCCTTTTAGACAAGTAGTCAAGTTCCGTATTGGACACTTGAAAGTTTGGCAACTTCACGCAGTAATACAAGTGTTATCCGTGGGGATTCAACTTACTCTCTGTCAGTCTAGTTATAGACTCCAGAGCAAGGCAAACATACAGAATTCAGATCTACCTTTTTCAACTTCTGGATATTTTAGCCATAATGCAACCGAAAATCCTTGATACTGGTAGCGCTGTTTGCACATCTGGATTTCAAACAACTTTTACTGCTACTAATCTAGAAATAAACATGGGTTCTCTGTATTTCGAAAGTGAGTTGTCGCCAGCCTTTTGTATTAATTGATTGGGTAAGATCCATTGTTTTTATGCTAGTATGGTCACTGTCTGCAGCACTGAATAATCTTAGAATGCGTGGTTCATCGTTTTATATAATTCGGTATTTTAAGAAAAATCTGTGAGAAAAACAGGTGCGTTTTCTTATGTCAAAAGCTTTGACAAATCTAAATAACAAATATCCCCATTCAGACATTTATAAGATAAAAGAAAGTTCGAGCAAAAAATATTCTTTTCCGTAAATTTCTCTTCCGCTTCTACATATTTATTATTATTTCCTTTAATTCCTAGAGGAACATACGGCTTCACCCACGCGTCTCCATTGCGTTCGGTTCTCTGCTAAAGTTTCCACCTGGCTCCACGTCTGCCCACATGCTTTCATCTCCTCTTTACATGACCTCCTCCAAGTCACAATTTGACGACCAACCAGACACTTCCCTTTAGGGTTCCACTCGAGCGATGGCTTGTCTAGTGATGTCGCTTGATGGTTTCCTCAGAGTATGGCCAATCCATCTCCAATACTTCCTGCCTGTTTGTTTCACAATCGGTTCCTGGTTGGTTCGCTCATTGCCAGAGATCCCTACTGATGATCTTTTGTGGCCACCTTGAGTATTTAGCGAAGACAGCTGTTATTGATGACGGTCTGTAGTCTGTTCATAGTGCTCGTTTCGCGCCAAGTCTCTGATTCGTATAGTGAGTAGCACTGACTTCATATTAAGTCAAGAATCCTGATCTTATTTTCATGCTGAGTGTTGTCGACCTCCACACAGACTTAAGAGTAATGAAAGCTTGTCTTGCTTTCCCGATCGTCGCCTTGATATCCTGGTCAGTTCCGCCTGTAGTTGAAACGCTGCTTCCCATGTAGGTAGAGGAGGTTGTTTCTTTTAGGTTCCACCCATTTAAGCTGATTGTTATATGTTGTTGCTGCTGTTGGTGTTGGCCAGGAATCTTCATCACCTCTGTTTTATCTATGTTCATCTGAATTGAAGTCTCATCTTTGATGGTTCTTCTGCCAACTTGTTGCTTTTCACTTGTTTATCATGCATTTAGTGAGAAATCAGACATATATCACCAGCGAAATCCGGATCCTCCAAGTTTGTGTTTGTGTGAGTCCATTTTATCCCTGTTTCCTCGTTGCCCGCTGTCTGTCACATTATCCGACCTACTGCAATCAGGAAAATCATTGGAGATAGCAGGCAGCCAGCCTTGTCTTACTCTTGTCTTCACTTCGAAGGATTCCATAGGTTTCCTGTTTTGGATTACTTGGCATGCAGCATTGTAATACAACTGTTGGATGATATGTATAAATGTCCGCGCCAACCCGTAGTAGCGAAGTAGTTGCCAAATCACCTCTCGATCGACGCCATCGAAGGCCTTTTCAAAGTCAATGAAGTTGAGCGAGGTGGAGAGGTGAATGCCATTCTAAGCTTTGTTCAGTGATGATCGGTAGTGTGGCGATTTGATCAATACACGATTTGTTTCTCCTGAATCCAGCCTGTTCCGGTCGAAGCTTTCCATCCAGGGCTTGTTTGATTCTCTCCAGGATGATGCGGCTTAGTATTTTGCTTGGGTTGGACAGGAGCATAATTCCGCGCCAGTTTTTGCATTGTCTTAAGTCTCCTTTCTTTGGCAGTTTGAATAAGTAGCCTTTCTTCCAATACTCGGATACCTTGTCCTCTTTTCACACCTTCTCCAGTAGTGGTGTCACACATATATATAAACTTACTGCATCGGTGATTCAATGGTATATTGCTGGCCAACTACACCCTTCGTCCGGGGTTCAAGTCCCGGCTGAAGTATACCTTTACCTCCTTTAGCCGGTTACATTCCTGACAAGTAGGGAAGGTCGGGCGTGAGGCTAGCAACCCTACCCCGTAAAAACACCACTGCTACTGAAACTTCGAAGCTTGTAGCTTGAAGCCCTATGTTCGACTGGGAACTCAAAGGAACATTTCTATATGCGCGTATAATATTCCTGTCCCGATCTTGGCGGCCTGTTTGACATCTGGGCTACGTTTTTCTTGCATCTACATATTGCATCTAATAAGTCATGTTTTCATTCCTAATTTTAATAAAATATGATCGCAAATCGCATAAAATACAGTAATTCATTCATTAAACGTTTTAAACCATATGACTTTCATGCAACTAATAATGCATCTAATAAATCTAAGAGAAAACATCACGCTGGCTGGCAGCGTGCACTTAAACAGACACCTTTATATCGTACAACCATTCCTGTTATTGTCACTTCAAACTGCCGTTCACTTCCCAACAAAATTATGCATCTCCAGTCTCTCTTATCATCTGATACTTATCACAATACGGCGATTGTTGCATTACAAGAAACATGGCTCCATGAACTCTATGATGACAATCTGGTTTCCCTAAATGGTTTTACATTGTTTAGACAAGATCGACTATGCTCCAGAAAGAAAAGAGGTGGAGGTGTTGCAACTTTCATTCATTCTCAATGGTCAACTTCAAATAACGTATGTTTTTCTTACTCTAATGACTTTATTGATTGTATAACGGTCAAATGCCGCCCGAAACACTTATCCAAGTTTAAATACGTCTTCATCTCTAACATTTATGTTACTCCTGGCTGTTCTGCATCTGATCTATCTGATTTTGCTGATGAATTCACTGAATTCGCCGTTACACATCTTGAAAACTCTTTATCAGTTGTCACAGGAGATTTTAACTGCTGTGATTGTTCTTTCCTCGTATCATTAGGTCATGCCAATATTGTTAAATTCCCTACTCGACTTGATAAAACCCTTGACCTAGTGTTCATTAATGATGAGGAAATATATGAAGTACGCCGACGTGCTCCTATCATGAACTCAGATCATTGTATTATTCGGATATTACCTAAGATATACAGCAGATCTCACTTTAATATCTTCTCAAATCTGTCCAAGAAAACACAGCAAAGGTGTTACTCACAAGAAAATATGCTCAAACTAAGATGCATGCTAAATGACACTAACTGGGAACTTTTCAACGAACACAAACTGGATGATACTATTTCCAATTTGACTGACTATCTTAAATTCTGTCTTGATATATGCTGTCCAAAACAGATAATTTTCAAAAGAATGGATCGTTTTTCTTCCCCTCATCTCAAAAAACTTCGTAGAGAAAAAGAGAAGCTGTACAAGACAAAGAATAAATCTGGTCTTAAGAAGATAAACACCCAAATTAAATCTGAAATCAAGAGACTAAACAACATTTATAATCAAACAATACTATCTTGTAAAACCTCAGAAAACATATGGAAGCTTTTTAGAGAAATTACTGGTTGTGGTAAGCATAATAATTTTGCCTCTTCTATTGATGTAAATACTCTCAATAGATCTTTCATCCGCCCTCCAAATGTCCTTTCTGCCTTCAATTTAACTAATAACACGACCAGTGACTTTCATCGTTTCAATACTTCTGATGTTCTTAAATGTTTGAAATCTCTTAAACCTTCCCAGAGTCTAGGCCCTGATGGTATACCTGCCATTGTTTTAAAGAAATGTGCTGATATTTTAAGTAACCCACTTACAAGCATTTTCAATACTTCTTTTTCTAATAATAATGTACCTTCTCTGTGGAAAGATATTAAAATCATCCCTGTACCCAAGTCTGGTTCTGGAGATAGTGTTAAGTTTAGACCAATTGCCATTACCTCTCCTTTTTTGAAACTGATGGAGAAATTACTGTTACAAAAACTCATTCCCTCCCTAAGCTTCTCAAACGATCCAAAGCAGTTTGCTTACAAACAGGGTAGAAGTACTTTGGATGCTGCTGCTGTGTTTCATCACAACATTGTATCCTCCTTAGACAAAGGGGCCAAGTATGTCCGTTGTACTTTCCTTGATTACACATCTGCTTTTGACTCTGTACCTAGAGGCCTTTTGTTAAACAAGCTTAGCCTTACACAAACTGAGTCCTGGGCTATCAACTGGCTGCACTCTTACTTCTCCAATAGGATGCAGTACACGGTATATAATGGTGTAGCTTCCTCTCCTTTGCTTACTGAAGCTGGTGTTCCTCAGGGTGCTGTTCTCTCGCCGTTTCTCTTTTCCTTCTTCTTACATGACTTACCTCTCTCAGACGAAATCAACTTCGTCAAATATGCAGATGACCTGACTGTTTCGCTTCCCGTTAAGTCTCAGTCAGACTGCTTCAAATTAAATAGCTTCCTGTCGGACATCAGTCAGTGGTCTAAACTAAATGGCCTAACGCTGAATCCCTCAAAATGCCAGACTGTCGACTTCTCCTTTAGGCATAAACGAGATCTACAAACACTAGTAAGCACTCATGATGTCTGTAGAATTGAGGGGACTATAATTGAAACAAAGTCTAATGCAAAATACCTCGGATTAGTTATATCTTCCGACCTTACCTGGTCATCTCATATCCAAATGATTTCCAAGAAAGTGTTTCGTCTAACCTACTACATTAAGAAACTCAGACTAACTGGAGTCCCTCAACCTCTGCTTTCACAATTTGTCAACTCTCGTATCCTACCTATTCTACTTTACTGTTCCCCGTTAGTCTTTCCTGGGTTACTGAAAAAGGATTATACCATCCTGAGAAGGATGTTGAAGGTAGTTAGTAGGACTAGCGGTGTAAAACTCAGTCAGCTCGTCACAACATTAGTGGATAAGCATCTGAATACATGTGAGAAATGGTCTAAAACCATACTCTCTGACCCCCAACACCCCCTCTATTCCCAACTCTCTCCCTGCATCTCATCAGGTAGAACCAGAAATCAGTACAAAATAATATATGCTCGTACAACCAAGTATAGGAACTCAACGATACCATATTTGGCCCGTGTTCTAAGTGACAGAGACAATGTTAAGCGTGAAACCTATGACTTGCTTTGTTGTTAATAACATAATTTTGGCCCTTGTTATTTCCCCCTTACACTCTCTTATTTGTACTCTATAGTGAACAACCTTCTTAAACATACTTAGCTGCTTAAAATTATTATCATTGGCTTACATTTTTATTCTTTATTCTATTCCTTTTTTGTGTATCTACTGGGTCCGACTATATTATCACTATGATTATTAAAAATTGTCCCGTCATTAACCATCATGTAACATTAGTTTTGTGGTTGTTCTTTGTTCGGCACTATTTAACTGACAATCTTGTTTGTTATTGCCACTATCACCATCTTAAAAAATTTTGTATTATGCATGATTCCTCACACTACCACTACAAACAACCGCATTAGTGCTGAAAATAAAAAAAACACAACCTGAAATGTTTATCTTATGATTGCTTAGTGTTGTTCAATCAAATTAACTGATCATCTTGGCTATAAACATTTTTTTAAGAACATCTCATAATTTCCCGTATGATTATAGCTGTTACTGTTCACCACGCATACACATATCGTAGCTTCCACTAACCAATACTGAAATATTTTTTCACAATTTGTGTTTATCTTCCTTTTTACTTGGTATTTTTATTTGCATTTTTTTTGTTATTTCTGTGTTCTTTTTTTGGTTTTTTTGTTGTTTTTTTTATATATTTTATTTTTTTTATAATACTCCTTTTAAATGTACGATGAAATTAGATGCAATATTGTAGATATGTGCTGAAAATTCCACACTGTACCACAAGTACTGTTTCTGGAATAAAGCGAAATTGTTATTGTTATTGTATAACCCTAATTAACAACATTGATATTTTACTGGAAATAATGTTGACTTGTAGTGACCACTGTAATTACAGTCCAAGAAAGATGCGCAAGTCCTACTAATCATAAGAAACGTGATACTAAGTCCAAGATCAGATAAGATTGAAAAAATTTAATTAACAAATTAAGGACGGTTAGAAAAGCGAAGACGAAGGTAAGGAAACCCTCTGAACCATCTACTTTTGGATAGATAAATCAGGTTTCTTAGTGTGAATTCAGACGGCGTCAGCATTACGTAACAGATGAAATTTCGTGTTAAAATAAAAATTAGTCGGTATACGGTTGATAACTTTGGAAGCCACGTTAACCTCAGTCTTGCATCCTGTATTCAAGATATGAGATGGGATAGAAGTTATGAATGGACTTCCTTTGTCTCTTCCCTAAACACAAATTAGGCAAAGTTAAACTTTAATCACCAATCACCGAATGACCTCGAACGCATCAGTCACGTGAAGGAGGCATTTTTGTGTATGGAATACATACAAAAATACGAAGGAAATATGCATGAAAAGTGTATAAAAGCATTACAGAGGATGCCTTTCTCTTACATGTGATAAGAACAGCTCTCAGTTTTCAGTTGGAGTATCAACAGAGTATAATTTCATTGTGCGTAAAATTTATTTTGATAAAGTTTCACAGTGTTCTACAGTAATATTTACTGAGCGAGAGGTTGTGCTCGAAACGTCATCAGTTAGTATTACTTTATAAAAATAAATTTTACTCACAATAGAATTATGCCTTACCACAGTGCACAAGTTATGTTCTTATATCAACAGGGAAATTTAACCACATTCCATGCATGGAATTATATAGGTCTTCTAACCCTAACAATAACTCTAATCCTTCCTGAAGGTAACCCCAACGTGAAAATATCCCTAAACTAACTGTAATCTAACTCGAACCAAACCTACTGTCGCCTTTATTAGGTTAACCTAACTCTAACTTATCCTTGGCCTAAGGAGTAACTTAATCTTTCCCAAAATTAATCTATAACTTGCCAGATATTCCATTTGATAACGCAACACTTCAATTAGCATATTTTATCGATGATGTCAACATTATCTGCCAGATTCCACCAACTTGCTTAGTGCGCGTTTCAAAGTCACTGGTGCGCTCGCACTCCAGTGGAAGTTAGTGGTGCTTAAAGTTTAACTTGGCCATATATATCAAAATGAGGTGGTTCATCTTTCACTCCCGAACTTAAAATGGAGATGGTTAAGCAGAAATATTACACTTCGGAGACTATGAATTTTATCCCTATGCCAACATCGAAACGTTGTGCTGTTACTTCACCGGTGTTATCACCAGAGAACTGAAGTTGTAAGAGCCATTCCTTTTTCAGAGCTATTGGTGCTTTAGATTACTTTATATATATATATATATATATATATATATATATATATATATATATATATATATACAAACAACCACATTTTCAAAGTATCTCAGAATGAATCTAAAGAATATTTTAGCACAACTTTGGAACTGCAGTAGACTAATTTACCTGATAAACGTTCACAGAGATACTGACGCCGTTTTTAGCACAATTTATTGCTGCCTATAATCATGTAGTCAGCTTCATATAACTTTCAAACTTTGTTTGTATAATTCCACTATTTTCAGCTGTAAGATATTTGTCATGAACCAGGGTAATGGGTATGCACTTCTGTTGAGTCCCAGGATAGGACGAAACAGCTATCCAGTGATTTCAAATGTTCCCTCTAACTAATGGTGGTTGGCGACGAAAATTTTAGCAAATGAAATAATTCCAAAATGCCCGCGGATCCAGTAGTCTGAATTCAGTTATTTCACATCTTCGATTTTACTGGCAGTATTATATTTTATATCTGTTATCAGCGTCGCGTCATTCAATTGAGAAGTAATCACTGTTCAAATTAACCTTCCGCCTAGCCATAATACTTATAGAACTGCAACTCTGTCCTATCCTATTTTGTAATTGCTTGTTATTGCATGCGTTACAGTTTATGGGTTTTTCTCTGAGCTCTTCACCTTTTTGAGGTCAAGCATTCTTCATTTACCTGAATTCCTCTACTCCAATAATCCGATTACCCTCATTCTACCAGTCTGACACATATAGTTGACCTGAGAGTAAATACAAGGTATTATGTATATCACAATATTTTGTCTCTTTGGATCAATAAGATCGTCTAGCCCACAGGATATGTCTCTGAGTGAGCGTGTAAGTTTAAATGCCATACGAATGCCAATTTTATCAAAAATCATACATGTAGGGTTTCAGATTTTTCTTATTAAATATATTAGGACTGTAGATGCATTAAACTTATCCTTACTTATGTGGGAATATAGAGAAGGATTTATTTGATATTAGATTTGTACTATGAATTAAGTTTGCGCCTCTATTTGATAAGACTGGTGCAGGCATCTTATTTTTAAAGTAATCATCGATTAAGTGACTGTTATACCCCAAGAAGTAATCAGATTTGGAAATATAAGTAGGTCTGAGACAAACATTGAAAGAGTTTGTTTGTAGGGATCTGACTTTTTGGAACTTAATCATGGATTGATATAAGTGAGATAACCATTGAAAAAAAGGGCGTAATGGACAGCTGTTTCGTTCAAATTTTTTGCTGCTTAACAGCATACACCCACCGAGTTTCGAACTCAGGACCTTATGGTCACGAGGTGGACCTATTTACCCTTTAATCACTGGTGAGAAATCCAGTGTGTCCGGAATTCTAACTGATATCAATCCGTGATCAAACGCCTAACAAATCAAATCCCTACAAATTAGCTCTTGAAAACTATTCTGATGCCTACTAGTGTCGGCTACTGGACAAATTTGACTGGTGTTCTAGTGCGGAGTCGAGACTAGTGGAGTCCACACGGCTGGATACGACGCCAATGACTTTGCCTGGAGCCGTTTGCGCCTTATGCATCAATTTATGCGTTAACCACTGAATCACGTCCCAGGAGCTGAATGGCAAACGAGCTTGACTCGCAACTGGAGGGTTCTGGGTTTCAACACATGTGGGTAAGTGCTCCCCATGAGTCCGAAATCGGCATGAAGCAGCTGTTAAGTACTCTTTCGTTTGCAATGGTTCTCTAAATGACATTAATCCATGGTCAAAGGTGAAATAAAAACTGCACTTTTAATGAAGTTAAGAAATAGACTTAGAAAAACACTGCAAAAATAATGTAGTAGAAGTTATCAATAAATTAACAAAGCAGAGGAAATCTTTGAGAGAGAGAGATCTAAAAATATGTTAACAGTTATAAAAAATGGTTCACTTAAAGAAACTTTAACCGGCTTTTGAAAAAGACAGATTTCGAAAGCAACCTGAGACCCATCCAGCCTTTGAGAATAGTATAGTTCCCCTCTGATTGGTAACGACCTGCAGTTGAATTCGGTATGCGCATTTCGTCCTACTTAGTACCTATCGGCTAGATGTACGTGCATTCCAAGTCAGTATTGGTGTTCCATCTGCTACTCAGACTCTACACCCATCGTTTGTAATATGGTAATTGTAATATGGTACCTATCCGTCACCTAACAGCCTTTTGAACACAGCTCATTCATCAGTGTGTTGTAAAATATCAGCGGTGAACAGATTAACTATAACAAAAATGAAACCCTTTCCTGACCAGTCGGTATTCCGAAATATGTAGCTGAATTGGCAACAAATCACATATTGCTCCAAAATAGCTTTTATATAAATATATATATGCAAATATTTGTATTACAGATAATGAAAACCCAACTAAATCGAAAGCTGAAAAGTCAGCAATCAACATTCTTATACCAATGAATGTGAATACAATGGCTACTTCGTATGTTTCAGTTCGTTTCACTCTTTATTATGGAACTCAAAGTAGTCAAACGTATGTGAATGTAAATGTTCTTGCATCTGAGGTAAGTGGTTGCTTTTCTTCACTACTACTTTTGTTTGTTTAAAAGTATGTAATCTGTGATTACAATGGTATATATAAAATAGTGGAGCTATGGATCATGGATTAAGGCCTCCGACTTTGAACCAATGTGAGTCACGAGTTAAAAGATTGTGCAACCAGTTTGTATTGTGGTATGTGTTACTGATAATATTTATCAATAGTATATGCAGAGAAGCTTATTGACAAAAACTGACAAAAATATCAAATAGCAGAGAGATAGAACTGACGTCAAAGAGAGGAAATGAAGCGGTAATGAGGCCAAACATGTGGGACACGAGAAGATAACAAAGAAACACAACACGAAGATAAGAAGTAGCACAAAACCGAAGATCTCTGAAAATGACGATTTTAATGTAAGGTACACCTAATCTCCTAATATGTGTATGCCATGCTGTTACCAAGTCCCTTGTCTTCTTCCGCTTTAACCTACCAACCGGAGTTTTACAAATACGGAGAACGAAGTGAACTCAAGAAAAGTGAATCATGTACGAATCAAATGGCGTCGCTACGCATCATGATCAAAAGGAGTATAGAATGGCAGTCAAATCTCCAACTCAGCTTTATCGACTATGAAACCGCCTTCCACAATGTTCACCACAAAATCACTCATAAGCTATTTCAAAACTATGGAATCTCTCCTGAATGTTCACCATCCTCGTTCAGCAGCTACATGAAAATACCACGTGTCATATGATTAACGGTGGAAAACTCAGCGGAGCGTCTGAAGTGAGGACAAGCGTAAGAAACAGCTACCTGCCATCACCGATGATATTCTTCACTGCAGTGGACTAGATTATAGGAACACTGTTCAGGAGAGCGAGAAGACGAGAATGCGTCGGACTGATAGGAAGGCTGTAGAAGATCTGCATTTCCTGGAAGATTTATTAGTAGACTTGCTGCCGAAAACCGGGAAAATGGCGGAAGATGCAGCAAAGGCAGAAATTCAAATGAACATGGAGAAGACGGATGTGATGAAGATAACCAACCAATCGAAATCAACTGGCACCACTCATTTCAAGTCATGCGAGACACTATAAGAAGACAAAGAAGCACACTACGAAAGGCACGACGCAGGAGATCTGTGCAAATGATGATATTCATCTATGGTATACAAAATGTTTTTATATGTGTATATCAAAGTGAAAAGTTAGCATTCCATCACCAAGTCTCTTGTCTTCTCTTGTTACAGTATCACTAGCCTTCACACAACAGATGTGCCTCATTCCCAACTGCATAGAATATCAAGCGGTTGCCAGCTATATATATACATATATATATAACCTCGCCAGATTACTAGATTGCTAGGCTACTAGCTTCCTAGTTTTCTAGCCTGTCCCAAGCCCGGATAAAGAAGGAGGGTTGGGGCGTGGTGCTAGCAACTCCACTTCTGTAAAACAACCAAATCGCTACAGAAACTTCAACGAATAAATATATTAAAAATTCTAAAAAACATAAGCAATAACCTTACTTTTCGCTGGAATCGGGGAAGTGAAATGACGCAGGCTGGTGTAAGCCTTCGGGAAGCCAGTCAGCCAATGTGCTTTCTTTCGATGAAAGCAAAAGTAAGGATGGGTACCTGGAATGTTCGTACAATGTACGAAACTGGAAAGCCTGCACAGATAGCCGCTGAAATGAGAAGGTAGAGAATAGAAGTGTTGGGAATCTGCGAAAGCAGATGGAACGGAACTGGAAGGTGCCAACTACCAACTGGAGAGACAATAATCTATTTGGCCACTTAGAGGACAACCATGAGCACACCGATGGAGTGGCCCTCATGATGTCACCAACAGCAACCAAAGCTCTCATGCAGTGGGAACCAATCTCCTCCAGGATAATGACAGCCAGGTTCAACTCAAAAGGAAGGAAAGTTACAGTCATTCAATGCTATGCGCCTACAAACGTCTCAGAATAAGAGAAGAAGTAGGATTTCTACAGACAACTACAAACAATAATGGACAACCTCTCAAATGGCGATATCGAAATCCTGATGGGCGACATGAATGCGAAGCTGGGAGGAGACAACACAGGAAGAGAACTCACCATGGGTCGTGAGGCCTTCGGTGAAATGAACGACAATCATGAACTCTTCGCAGACTTCTGCGCCTTCAATGATTTGGTGATTAGTGGCAGCGTTTTCAAACACAAGGATATACACAAGACGACATGGACTTCACCAGATGGAAACACCGAGAACCAAATAGACTTCATCTTAATTTCAAGAAAGTGGAGACGGAGCCTACTGTACACAAGGTCGAGGAGAGGAGCAGATGTGGGTTCAGACCACTATCTAGTAGAAAAGACTTTCAAGGTGAAGCTAAAAGCCTCGAGGATAGCTGGGGATGGACCACAATGCAAGTTCAACACTCAGAAACTGAAGGACACAACCACAAAAGACACCTTCACTGCAACTGTCAGAGCAAAGCAGGAAACACTACGTGACATCACTGAAGAATCATGCCTGGAAGAACATTGGAAGTCTCTGAAGGCGATTCTCAACGAAACGTGTTCAACGGTTCTAGGAAGAAAGAAGAGACAAGACAAGGAATGGCTCTCAGCGCACACTTGGAAGCTAATAGAGGAGAGTTGAATGGTGAAAGAGAAAATGATTCAATGCAAGGTCGGACAGGAGAAGGAGACGCTGAGCTCAACTTACACAGCACTGGAAGAAGAAGTGAAGAAGAGTGCTAGGAAGGACAAAAGACGATTCTACGACAACCTGGCCACTGAAGCTGAGAGAGCAGCAGGCAAAAGAGACCTGAGGACATTATATCAGATAACCAAATCTCTATCCGATAAGAGATCAACACAAGTGAAACCTATAAAAGACAGCCAAGGGAACCCAATTACCAAAGAAGAAAACCAGATTTAACAATGAGCGGATCACTTCAAAGGACACTTGAACCGACCACCACCTGCAACCCGTCCACAAATACCGACAACAGAGCGCACACAAATGCAAGTTGACATCAATCCTCCAACGAGAGCTGAAGTCTTGAATGCAACCAAGCTTCTGAAAGCTGGAAAAGCAGCTGGACTAGATGGAATATCTCTTAAGCACTGAAAGTGGACGCAGAGACTACAGCAGACATATTGACTCCATTATTGGAAAAGGTCTGGAGGGAGGGAAAGGTGCCTACTGACTGGAGGAAAGGTTACTTCGTGAAGCTACCAAAAAAGAGGGACTTACGCCTCACTCTTCAAGAAGTGGCGAGGAATCATGCCTTTGTCGACGCCTAGTAAAATCCTGAGTCGCATCATTCTGGAGAGATTAAAGGACGCACTGGATACAGAACTCCACCTCACCAGAACAAATCATGTACTGACCAAATTGCAACTCTACGCATCATCATCACAGAACAAAGCATGGAATGGCAATCAAACGTCTACCTCAACTTTTTAGACTTTGAGAAGGCCTTCGACAGCGTTGATCGTGAAGTAATTTGGAAACTACTCGAGTACTACGGCGCACCCCAAATATTCATCAACCTTATTCAACAGCTTTACGACAACGGCACATGTCAAGTGATCCACAACGGAAAATTCAGCAAGGCGTTTGGAGTAGACACAGGAGTCAGACTAGAGTGCTTATTATCACCAATGATATTTTTAATTGTAGTGAAATGGATTATTCCTCAGACAGTGGGAAACGAGAAGAGAGGTATATCCTGGAGCGATGTGAAGAACCCAGAAGACCTGGATTTCGCGCGTGGATGATTTATGTTTGATGTCACACAAAATCGAAGACTCACGAGCGAAAACTGAAAAACTGGTCGAAGAAGCAGCTAGCGAAGACAGGACTCCATGTGGACATAGACAAGACGGGGATTATGAAAATAAACAACCAACAATAACAGCAGCAACATCCAGCGTCAATCACCATCATCGGGAGGGATTTGAAAGAGGTTACTTCATTCACTTAGCTAGGGAGCATTGTCTCAACTACAGGAGGAGCGGACGAGGATGTCAAATCGAGACTCGGGAAGGCGAGGAATGCATTCATCAACCTGAAATCAATCTGAAAATCTTCGTCACTCATCATCACCAACAAAATTCGGATTTTCAATACAAACAACGTCAAGTCAGTCAGTTCTTCTATACGGATCAGAAACTTGGCGGGGGGTCACAAAGAATATTTCCAAAAGCTTGCAGACCTTTATTAACAACTGTCTCCACCCTATACTGAAGATCAGATGGCCAGGCCGGAAAGAATCACCAACAAGGAATTATGGGAACAAACAAAGCAAGAACCAATCGCCAACCAAAGTGGAGATGGATTAGACACTCTCTGAGGAGACCGCTGGGTGACATCGCACGTCAAGCCCTCGAGTGGAACCCAAAAGGGAAGCGGCGTGTGGGACGTCAGTGCAAGGGTGACACGGAGGAGATCGTGTGAAGAGGAGTTGGAAGAGTATGGACTAACATGGATGGAGGTGAAAAGTACAGCAGCAGAAGGCAGAAGCAAATGGCGATGTGAAGTTGAAGCCCTATGTTCCACTAGGAACCCAAGGGAGCAATAAAAATATAATAATATATATATATGAAATGGAAAATGAAAAACTGTGATTCTAAGGGGACCCAAAGATATCAACAGTGATAAAGATTTCATTGTTTTTGTGACAATCTTCGTAAATTCTTATTCACAATTTCATAGCTCTTCTGTATGAATACTGAGAAGATCAAAGTTGCATTCTGTGAGGTTTTCTTGTGGGTGAAGTTAAAACTGCAAAGTCACAGTCAAGGCTGGTTAAAAGTTCACCTTGAAGGGTCATTCAGATCTAGACAACGCTAAAATTGGCCATTCCAAATCAAATCATGCCTACCTGTAAGCATGAATTCTATGAAGACTAAGTATCTGACTATCGTGTCAGTGACTGATTAACTGGAGTCATGTGTGTTTATGGAGATAGAATTTGACTATGAGGCAATATAATTTTGCATGGGATAGATATTTTATAGACATAATTCATTCCATAAGACAAAACCTGTTCGTAAGGGTACGTACAGTATCCTACTCTTATTTCCTGAGTACGTTTTCTGTTAAGAATGAGGTTTAGCAGTTGTTCAAACAAGAGTGTCAGGAATATCGATCGATCGCTAAGTACCACTATATACAGTCACCTATATGAATATACCTATTACATATAATAGGATTCATGGAGTAACTGACAGACATTCTCAGAACACATAAGAGAAAATTATCCGAAGTAATATCATGTCTTCAATGCTCCTTCATACATTCTGATTGATTGTCCAAGGTCATTGTGGTTTCGTCAATAGCACTTCAACTTCGTCTTCTTGTTCTGATGATGCCTGATAGCTAAGATTAAATTTCTGAGAAAGTAATTCTATCCGATTTTAGCAAGCGAATAAGCCACAGCATGGAAGATGGTGGATTTCTCAATGAAAGTCTGATCATGCTCGACTACTATCAATTCTTATCCATTTTAAAGCCCTTTTGATCGTTCTTCAAGCTGTTACATCCGATGTAATACTTTGAGTAAAACTGTACTTATGGTTTATTATATGGATAATTCAATAGTTATATTTTATTCTAGACGAAACTGTGTAGAAACCAGTAATACATAAAGCGGATATATATATGTATATATCAGTCAAAAAACCACTGAAAATCAAGAAGTATTGATTAGTTGTTTCCTCCCAATCGGGGACTCCTCAGATGCGCGTATTCAAGATCCCTTTGGGATACATGATCTTTAGGATACGAGGACAGCATGTCGATTATCTAGCTAATGTGACTGGTCGTTCTGAGACAAACAACGTCATCGCCTTCTAATGTCATTTGTTAGTATTTGTTCTCATAATTAGCACGAATTCTAACTGGAACTTAAGGCAACTTCATTCCGTAGTCAGTTATCAGTGAGCATTATTTTCATGTTTAAGTATTGTTCGGCAGAAAATTCCTTAGTGTCTTGCCGAGTGCTTACACTTGGAAGTGAGGTATCAGTTCTTTTGCTAATAGTTTTAACATATTTTCCTTCAAAGTGTGATCGCAGTTTGATACCGGCTAAAGTTATTGAAAAAACCAGAAATTAATGAACAGCTCTCTTATTCTAATTCAGGATTATTCAACGGTACGCATTCCCTGGGATTCGAATTCAGGCTCTTTCGGTCAGAAGAAAAGGCTGAATACCATAAAGTTACGAGGACCAGATTTAACGGATAGACTATGGGTTCTAACTTTGACCAACTGTTGAATTTAGGGCGACCACTTGCCGATATCATCGGCGAGTATTTGTCCTCAAGCCCGACCTGGTAGAGCAAGGGTAGAATTAAGATACCAAATTGCATCGATTTTAAGAAAAATTTTGAAGACCGCTAATAAACAAATGAAATTTGAATTAAGCCCTTCAGTTAAATTTTATCATCCATTATTCAGACTGTTAGCTGTCGACAGGAAACCAATGACGAAACGAAATGGATCCGATTTATCCCCTACATTGTGTTGTTATTACTTTATTCAGATTCATTGAGGAATATTCCTTTGTGAAGGTTCTAAATAAAAATTTGACTTTTTTGATGTTAGGCACGCGTACCAAGCTCAACAATCGCCTATCAGATAGATGCTCCCAGCTACTATGACAAACCAAATGAACGAACCGATCCAGTAGTTCCAGGACAGATGGTTCGGTATCACTACAGGATCAGTCTACCGAATACAATGTGTGCTACATTTTCAATGAGATTTACACTACTGTCTAATATTTGGCCTGTTGATATAATTGGTGCTACTCTTATGGACTACAGTGACTTTATATGGTTCAGCGGTGCTGTCAACCCTGTAATAACCATGTGAGTAGGTTGAATGTATAATGCAAATATAATGATTTCATGTTTTGAAAGAAAAATCTCGAATTTTTCTCTGGTAGTATATATGTATAGTTAGCTTGGTTTCATCGTTCGACAATAAATAAGTATTCTTGTTATTCACTGCCAAAGATGCGTGTGAATATGGACTGACGCAGAAACTTAGTGATAGGTATCCGAGGTTAAAGAATCTCTAGTTCCCTAAAGAAAAACCTTTCCGGCAACAAAACTAACATTGATATTCTCTATTCACCCACCATATCTAAGCAGTATGAAGGATAGACTCCCGTATGTGACTACTCTAATGTAAATATATCAGGATTTCATCATGAGCTGACATTAGTTAAAGAACAATTGGAAAACCAGCTGGGAGTACCGGACAGCTGTTTCGTCCCAGTTTGGGGCTCTTCAGCAGTACGCACCCACCGGGATTCGAACCCAGGACCTTCCGGTTACAAGGCGAACTCGTATACCACTAAGCCACTGCGACCCGTTCCAATAGTCCTTGAATTCTAACTTCTGCCAATTCACGACATAGCGCGACCTCTAGCCAATGTCACTGGCGAGTATTTGTCCTCATACCCGACCCGCTGCATCCTACTGGTGACTTCTTCCCACTGGAACCCATATAACTACCTACCTGAATAGGGCCGGTCGCCAGTGAGCATCTCGTTGGTATTCAAGTGTTGGTTTGTAGGGATTTGATTGGTTTCAGGATTTCGTTTTCTAACCAATGTCAGCTCACGTAGCATTGTTTCAACCACGTGTGACAACACGATTGAGGATGTTACAACCATCCAGGAAAGAAAAGGCAATACAGGTCTTCATCACCTTTAATTCTGTTTGGAAATCTGCTGCACCCAGTATGAACAACAAAGTTCTGATTCCGAACACTACTGTTAACCCAGTCATTTCTTCTCTATGGTTCAGAAACCTGCACTGCACGTCACGAAAAGCATCACAAACCATTTGCTGACTTTTATCACTTAGCTGCCTTCACTGGCTTCATACTGAAGATCAAATGACCAGTTCAGAAAGGAATAATAACAAGAAACTCTTAGAAGGAAATAATAAAGAGTCTAATGCTCAACAGATATGCGGAAGCAAACGGAGATGGATCAGACACACGCTTGGGAAGACCGTTGGTTGACATTGCCACTTCAAGGGTTACATGGAGGAGATCGTATTAAGAGGAGATGAAAGCTTATATGAAATAGTGAGGTCAGCTAGAGAGGATGACAGAAAACTGGATGAACTGAGCTGTATTGTTGAAGCCTTATGTTCCATTCCGAACCCAAAGGAAAGATAACATTCCTGAACGCCTATTTCATCATTTTGGGGACCTTTAAGTTTTTTTGTTACTTTTATCCGTTTTTTCTTCTAGTTTCACCGAATTTATCTTTGTTTTGACAGTTAAATATTTGCACTTCACCAGCTATTTTAAGAGGATTTTTATTGTTTTTTGATATTCACAAATTTATATTTCCCTTTATTTCCTTTTTATTAGAAGCGGTGCAGTGACAAAAAACACGGCAACCGTTGCTATGGGAACAATATGTGTTCCTGAAACGTTTGATAATCAGGTAATAATTACAGATTACTATCCCATATAAAAAATGGAACTTTTTTTGAACGGATTATTTAATAAAAGCAAGTGTTGCATTTTTATTAGGTAGGAGTTATTCATCCTTATTTGGAAGCTGGCATGTATTCACACGCATGCGTATGTCATTTTCGGACTTAATTACTGTGGATAGTATTCACGCAATTCGCATTTTTTTCCTGCACGTTCTCAGTGGAACATAGGGCATCAAGCTAGTGGCTTGAAGTTTCAGTAGCAGTGTCTAATTTTACAGGATGGGGTTGCTAGCTCCATGCCCAACCTTCCCGCTTTACAAGCCTTATTTATGGCTTTTAACGAGGTAAAGGAGTGCATCGGTCGGGGATAGAACCCCGGACCATGTGCATGATCGGCGATCATCCTAACCGATGTGCCATCGACGGAAATGAATGCGTTGGCCAAGGGATCAAATCCCAGACCACATGCGTGATTGGTGTGGATTCCACTTCTGTGCCACTGACGCAAAAAGCCACAGCCAGATGAGGGCGTGAACTCCCGCATAGTTTGAATTTATCATTCAGTTAAAACTAATAATTATGGAGAAAAGTATACCAATTGTAAAGTTTTGTCCACTACACTGTTAACATAATTACACACGTATACTAAAGTAAAACTAATTAAAAGTCAGTCTAGCTTATGTTGATGGACATATATAAAATTTCAAAGAATACCGGCAGCATAGTTAGGGAGAACTTGGATGGATTTTGAATGCTGATGTGTTTATTTGATACATATTGGTAGATGTCTTCTCATCGTTGGTTGAGCGTTTCAACTATTGTGAAATTATTATTATTTCCTTCCATTCCTAAGGAACATATGGCTTCAGCTGCACGTCTCCACTGCATTCGATTCTCTGCTAAAGTTTTCACCTGGCTCCAAGTCTACCTACATGCATTCATCTCCTCTTCACATGACCTCCTCCAAGTCACCCTTGGACAACAAACTCGCCGATTCCCTTTCGGGTTCCACTCAAGCGCTTGTCTAGTGATGTCACTTGATAGTTTCCCCAGAGTATGGCTGATCCACCTACATATCTTCTTGTCTATTTGTTTCACAATCAGTTTTTGTAGGGTTGGTTCACTCACTACCAGAGATCTCTCTTGATGATCTTCTCTGGCCATCTGATCTTAAGTAGTATTGAGCGAAGACAGCTGTTATTGATGAAGTTCTGTAGTTTGTTCGAAGTTCCTTCATGACGCGCCACGCTTCTGATCCGTATAGCAAGTAGATTGGCTTCAAATTGGGGTTGAAAATCCGGATCTTATTTTCATTTTCATGCTGAGTGCTGTTGATCTCCACAAAGACTTGAGAGTAAGGGTAGCTTGCCTTGCTTCCCGATCCTCGCTTTGATATCCTCATCAGTTCCGTTCGCCTGGAGTTGAAACGATGCTTCCCAGGCCGATATGCAGGTAAAGGAGGTTGCTTCTTTCAGACTCATCCCAATTATGCTGATTGTTGTCTGTTGTTGTTGTGGTGGTGTTGCCCAGGAATCCCCATCACCTATGTTTTCTCTATGTTTACCTGAAATCCAATATTGTGAAATACGTTGGTTATTTTAAGGTTATATGAGTCATAGTATTAACTGAGCTTTCAATGATAGTACAATATATATTAAGAGTTAATTATTCGATTATGGATAAGATTTTATTTTGATAAATCACATAGTGTAGTAGTGTAGTAATATGTACTGATGACGTGTCAATCACAAATTATTGCTCTTTATCATATAACCGTATAAGGTGGAGGCATCTGATGCCCTACGTAGGATTCCCAATAAAGCAGGAATTCGGGTGGCATTGAAACCTACAAATTCAACCACTGATTCAAAGGAATGTCCAAGGTTGGATAGCCGGTGGGTTCATCTGTACGCAGTCATTAATTAATAACCTCCAAACTAAGACTTAACAGCTGTCTACTGTTCCCCTATTTTCAATGTTTTTCTAACTTATATCCTCCATGATGAAACTTAAAACCGTTCAATTCTTTGCCAACCGCTTAATACCTTTCACTGTGGATTTATTTAGTATGTATGAATTACATAGTGATAAATGCGAAATAATTAGGTGAATAAAATAATTAACTTTTAAACTCCACCGAATAAACTGCATAGATGGTGACGTAGTAAACATAAACTGCATGTAGAAGAGGTCTAAGGTACTTGTAAGTCACTATCTATGCAGTTTATTCAGTGGAGTTTACCACGTGGAAACATTTCAGCCAGTACACGACGTAATTCAAAATATTCTTTAGCTATCGTGCATATCGCTTTTCTGACATTATGTATTTGTTTCACAGATTCTGTTCGACCTTTTTCTTCGTCCACGCAACAATTTCGACAACAGCCTAACACCTGGTAATCAAACAGTATCTATCAATGGTCAGTTGACAGCAAGTACGATAACTGCGGCTTTATCTTTACCATTAACCTCATTTGTTATCGTTCCGGACTACATTATAAGTGAAAGTATTATCAAGCTCCCTCCAATCGATAACAATAAATACGTAAGTTTCTTTTCTGTGTGTCGAATAATTTCAAATGGAATATTTGATTAAAGTTGCATTTCTAATTCAAATGTTGTAGTATACAGCTAAACTGAAGTGTATGGCAGTTGTGAACAATGCAACGTTCAACTGTATCGATCGATAGAATGCGAACGCACGGGTGACCTTGAGACAACCAATCAGAAAGAGTGGCGTTTATTTAACATCAAAATGATGTTTATTTACAGGAGAAACAGAGAGAAAAATGGTGAGACACCCTAAACAGGATATTCTTCTTTGACAGGACTTAAAAATACCTCACAACTGTAATGAGGAGTACCAGCTTTTGAATTAAGTCAGTTTCTATACATGTTATCATCAAGGTGACTGAAGTTGAGTTCTTTTCGTGACCCAGTTACCGCTCATATACTCTTTTTCAGTTATTCTCAGAAGTCTTCAATTGAATCATGATGGGTTTCAGTAAGGAGGTCAACAAAATAAATGAGATCAATTCACTCGATTATTGGCCAAGCTCAAATAAAATAGACGGTTGTGTCCCAGCCATTCGTCTGTATGAACAGTAGTGTCATAAATAACTAACCTTTATTTAAAAGGCGGAAGAGTGTCGGCAGTACGATTCACAGCATTCATTTTCCAGGATGTTGTATCTCTGCAATGGTGGTAAAATCACTCAGTAGATACTAACGAGTTTGCCGTCTGAACATCCATTTATCTCACCTCAGTCTTACCGTTACAAACACTAATTCATTTTCTACACTTTGTAGACCTCAGTATATATCCATGCCTTGTATCTGAACATCGCTGGATATACATAGAAGCACCTCATGAACATTTACGGCTACATGGCATCAACATGTTATCTAAACAATACTTAAAAAACAGGATCCAGATTAAGTTTGCACCTCATTTCGTGAACAAACCTCACAGTGGCGCTACAATAATGATAGTTCCGGCAATCCACCGACTGGCGTGTGTTCAAGGTCATTGTTGCCTGCCTTCCCCTCGATAGCTATATTTTAACTTGGTCGTGTACAGTATGTCTTTACTCGTGTACAAATTAATCCACTTGAAACCGTGAGACAATTCCTGCAATCAGTAAACTTGAACAAATCAAGAATGATAAGTGTACCAGGAGAATAATGACTTCAACTTTTATCATTTCGAAGAATCGACTCATCTGACTGCAACCTGGACAATAGGAAAGTATAAATTACAAAAAGGAGGCCTGTACATACCTTCTACCCGATGACGTGAAGTCATTGATTTGGACTAAAAGTAACATACATCAGAAATGATGAAAGTTATCTAATAGCCAGGAGTTAAAAACATTGAGTTATAAGCGAGTAATAAGACTGAAACACTTGAAAAAAGAGCCCACGATATACAAGAAGAAACGATGTTTAACAGAATGACTGGTTATACAATTGCATAAAATGTACCTTCATAAAATAGCTGAGCAAGAGGCCAGGTTGATTCATATTCAAACGAAACAACTAACTTTTCTAAGCAAGACACAGGGTGACATACTAAAACAGTGTACTCAGTTTGATTGTGTAAGAAAGCCCTACTCAGAAGTGAAAGTTGACAAATAGTTATCCATTACAGAAAAATGCCTGCAGGATAACAAATATTCACAGAAGTTCATCGACAAACATGGAAAACTTAGCGCTGAAAATGTAAATCATCGCACAGTAGAGAAAAAACCAGTCTTTCCACAGTTTGTCTTCAAAAAAATGAAGATATTGTTAGTAGAACAAGATGCAAACTGAAACGCTGCCGCGAAAACAACACATTCAACTGATTAGCTTGTTTGTATTTATCATACGAGCAGTTGTTTAAGACAATCAAAGCGGATAAACTTCCAGCCTATGTTACCTTCAAACGTGTCTCCCAACCCGCATATATTTGCCAAAGCACATACATTGGAAGAACAGAAAGAAAAGTTATTACCCGCATTTCTCAACACATATCAAATGACCGGAGACAAAAAGCCTCACATTCATTAAACAGTGCAATTGTCCGCCACTTGTCGGACACTGATCATACTGTCGATATTCTGAAAAGGTGCAAACAGAATCAGAAGGTTAAAGAAACCTGTGTTGTTACGTTTTGCTGAGACCACTACCGTCAAACAATTCAAACTGAATATGTGTACACAGAAAGACACAGTGTACCACCTTAGTGATAATGAGGTATACAATTTTATTAAGTCATCTTCTGTTCAGTTTAGAAAATTTTGTTTTTTCATGCGGCCTCCTATATTGTTACATACTTTCTAATTAAACTGTGTTTCTACCTAAATATCGTGAGCTATATTGTCAAGTTAACTGACACTTTTTCACCACTGTGCGTCGGTGGCACAGTGGTTAGGACTCTCGCCGACATGCATATGGTCTGGGGTTCGAGCCCACGCCGACGCACACCCGATATCTATGGTCGGCCTGCGAAATTCAGGCTACCGATATCCACGCTGAAAATTCCATACTTGTACCAAAAATACGGTGTGGAATCAAGCTGTAAATCAAAAATAAAAATAAAATTTCCTCCATCCATCCTTATATACCTTGAAGTTTTACTTTTATTATTTCTATTATATTTATGGTCCTGTTACTTCTTTGTTTTACTCTCTCGCATAATTGCAAACACCAACTTATCTCTATGAAGGCTGTAATCTTTGGTTTTCCCCTCACGATATCATGTAAAGAGAACATTATATTCAATATTTTTAAACATGCTAGGATTTCTATACCGCATATAACGATACTGTGTGTAACGAGCCCACGGCGATTTTCACTTTTATTATTGTTATTACCTTAGCCGTTATCATTATTATTGCTATTTCCATTTTATATGTTGCATGTTTTCGACATTACCTCTATTGTAGATGTGGAACATTTTCTGTGTGATTAATTTTTATTTATAATTTGAGGAAATTAGATGGAATATTGTGATTAATGCTGAAAATTCCATTCTGTATCACAAGTACTGTTTTTGGAATAAAGTAAATCATTATTATTATTATTAAGTGAATTGGCCTTATTACCCTACTATTACTCAAACTTACTGATTCTCAATTATTTATTAATATTCATCATTCTTGATAAGTTTCAATCGAGAAAGAAAGGCCAGACTTGCTGTTTAAAGGGATATCATTCTATTTTACAGGTTCTCATCAGCTGCAAACTACCTGAAATTACAATGGTTATAAATAATAACATTTCACCCTTCAACGCTTGAAAAGTAATAAAGAAAACATTATAAGATGAACATATCTGGAATATAAATAATGCAATTTTAATTTTAGATTACCATCAATTCATATTCCATCAAGCTGTGAAGGAAAGGGAGGTGAGAGAAGACAGAAATCAGAAAGATCTAATAAACAGTGTTAGCTTGTAGGTTAACATAGCAACTGAAGACGGTTAAAGTACATCAAATTGAAACTTGCTTAGTGAGCTGAGAGATTGACTACACTCTCTTTCTGTGTGCATAAGTTTGGTCTGAGAACTTTAATTGCAGTGGCTTTGTATGAAATGTCATTCATAACCGCTGTAATTTTAGGTGGCTTGTCGCTGATGAGAACCTGTGAAGTAGAATGATATCATTTTATACAGCAAATCTGGTCTTTCTTTCTCTTTCGAAATTTGTCATTCTCTACTCATATAACTCTTAGTTGAAGTGAACGACTTCTCGTCACCGGGGAAGAGGTGTATTCAAATCCTGTTTTGTATTATCCAGGTTGTATTGAATTGAGAAAAATCTTCAAAATGATAAAGGTTGAACTCATTATTCTCCTGATATATTTGTCTTTATTGATTTCACTACGTTAATTTATTTGATATCTGCTTTTGAATACCATCTATAATTATCATTATTGCTCCCTTGTGTTCCTAGTGGAACATAGGGCTTCAACTTCACATCTCCATTTGCTTCTGCCTTCTGCTGCTGCACTTTTCACCTGAATCCAAGTTAGTCCATACTCTTTCAACTCCTCTTCACACAATCTCCTCCATGTGACCCTTGCACTGACGTCCCACATGCCGCTTCCCTTTCGGGTTCCACTCGAGGGCTTGACGTGCGATGTCACCCAGCGGTCTCCTCAGAGAGTGTCTAATCCATCTCCATCCAATTTCTCCTGCATATTAGTTGTGCGATTGGTTCTTGCTTTGTTTGTTCCCATAATTCCTTGTTGGTGATTCTTTCCAGCCCGGCCATCTGATCTTCAGTATATATCCAGCGAGACAGTTGTTAATAAAGGTCTGCAAGCTTTTGGAAATATTCTTTGTGACCCGCCAAGTTTCTGATCCGTATAGAAGAACTGACTGACTTGACGTTGTTTGTATTGAAAATCCGAATTTTGTTGGTGATGCTGAGTGACGATGTATTATATTATTACTGCTATTTTCGACCCCTTGTGGAACAAAGGGCTTCCACAGCATATCTTGACTTTGTCCTATTCTCTGAGGTCTTTTCAAGCTGTATCCAGTAACGTATGAAGTCTTTGAGGCCCTCCAAACACGATCTCCTTCATGGTAACCCTAAGAAGTGTCTGAATCTTCGGTTCAATTTTGGTTCTGCTCGAGGCCTAGCCTGGTGCGCAGTGTTTTCCGATGTTCTCAATATGTACCTAATCCATTTCCACTCTCTTCTACATATCTGTTGAACTTTGGGCTCTTGGTTATTTCGTACCCACAGTTACCTGTTGCTAATTCTTTCCGGCGATTCGATATTCAAATATTTAGCCAGCGAATGTAGCTGTCGATAAAGTCAATACCTGTTGGAAATTATTTTTGTCACACTGTAAGTTTCTGACCCATATAGGAGAGATAGTAGTAATAGTATTCGAAGAATGCTAGAATTCATCCTCTTTTCTAAGTAGTGATATTTCACCTACGCGTTTTAATAGCCGGCATTAAAGGAAACATAAAACGCGCACAAATCAATTGAGAGTAAACGATGATCTCATTTGTGTACAACATTTTTGTATTTTTTTTAATGAA